TGGGGGGGGGTGGGGGGGGGGGGGGGGGGGGGGGGGGGGGGGGGGGGGGGGGGGGGGGGGGGGGGACAGATTTCTCCACTCTATCTTCCCATCCCCTAACTTTCTTATCTTGCTTGATAAACAGGAAAACAAGGCTGAGAAGCCAATCAGTACTTTGCAAAGTTAGCAGTTCTTTCTTTGAGACTTACAGAGTTTTGAAAAGTGATTAAGGCTGAATGACTGGAAGCTGATCTCAGGCACCAGCCAAATCGACCAGAGTTCTGTGAAGTGAAACAGGTTTTGCAGAACAGTTGATTCTACTCCAGAGCAGATGAAAATCTTACAGGGTCTTGAGATAACAGCAAAGGCCTTGACGGGACCTGTACCTGACTCATAGACACAGACCCCTCACAGCTCACGGACCCTTCCCTCCTGTTTTTCATTTCTGTTGGGCTGGGTCACAGACCCTTGAAACCTGTGCTGTGCAGATCACAGCTAGGTAGTTGGAAAAAGATTCTGGGAGCCGTTGGCAATGTTGACATGCTTTATTCGGATGTGAGCTCAGCCCCACCCGTACTGATCAGAGCCACTGCCTTTTATACTAGAGTCAGGTAGCCAAGGAACATATGGGTGCACATATGCAGTTATACCACTCTTACATAACGTATTTATGTTATGTAATATAATGTTCAGACATGCTGAACATGCTCGGCTGGATATAAGGTGAGGGAGCCTGACCATTCTATTTTCCTCACAATTTCTCACATTCCGTTCTCTCGTCCCATTCTTTAAAAACCCTTCAGTAAACCTGAGTCTTTCAGATGGCTTTAGCCTGGCCATTCACCTTCAGATTTACCAGAGAGATGAGTGAGCCTAACATCTTTCCTCAGATCACTGGTATTCCTGAACAACGGCTGACTTCCATTTTCACCAACATTTGACTTTTGAGTGATTGGCTTTTGTCTGGGGGCAGGCAGCCAGACCTGTGAGTTTGATATAAATTTTGGGGAACCTCCACCACAAACTGAGTGTGCCCTGTAACAGAAGGAACCCATGAAGGCAAAAGTGCCTATGTCCCACAAAAGTCATAATGCAACACTGGCACTCTGTAATGACTTACTAAGCGAATGAGTAAATTAATGAAGGAAGTGAATCCATCAACTCTTGCTGAGAGGGTGACACACCCAGTTCATACCTGAGGCTGCAGAGGTTGAAGTAGTCTGCTGGGCCCCTTGCAATGATGCCTGCTACACAGTCATCCTCAAAATCAGGAAACAGGTGAAACAGTACCTATAAAGTAATAAAATACTATATTTATATGCAGAAAGAAGTCAGGGGAAAACAAACAAAAAACCTTGTTTGGAATTCAACAACATGAAGAGCCCTAAAAAAGATAAAGACCAAACTTTCACCCTTGATTGGATGAAAGTTCAATCTCAGGGACATGCCCTGTAGAGCTAGGGCTAGGGTCTGGAGCTCACAGACCCCTCAAGCCCATTCACAAACCCTTCACACACAGGTCTATGAGCTAGGTAATCGGCAAAAAGGTCCTTGGAGCCTTGGCTGAAGTAGGAATAGTATTTATTCAGCACACACATGTCTGAAAGTTAAACAGTGCAAAGGAGAAACCCAGAAACTCAACTGCTGCTGGCAAAGTCCAAAGAAAAACTGAGCAGCTGCCAGTAGAGTAAACATGCTCTATTTTTAGACTCGAGCTCTACTGGCCAGCCTGCTTCACAAAATCAAGAACACACAATAACAATAAAACTAAAAAGATACATTGGTGCACATGCACACTAACTCTACCCACACACAACTTGTTTACAAGAAATGTCCAGGGAGCTTGACTAAATTATCTTATTTTCCCCACATGCCCTAATTAATAATTTTAAAGCATTAGAGGAGGTTCCCTGCATATCTGTACAGACCTAGATCTCTGAGCCCCTACTGTGCCTCAAAAAAATTCTACACACAATTGGAAATAATTGAAATAATTGTCAAATAGTAACAAACGTGCAGAACTTGATGCAGCGCAGCCCTGATGAGTCAAGACAGTTCCAGAAAGGGCTGGAGGAGCTAAATTAGAATTATGATGTTAGGGCCGGCCCGGTGGCGCACTGCTACAGTGCGCTGCTTGGGAGTGCGGCAGCGCTCCCGCCGAGGGTTTGGATCCCACATACAGACCGGTTCCCGCTCACTGGCTGAGCGAGGTGTGGGTGCAACGCCGAGGGTTGCGATCCCTTGCTGGTCCCGGTCCGGTACGGGCGCGACACTGAGGGTTGCGATCCGTTGCCGGACACGAAAAAAGACAAAAAGGAAAAAAAAATAATAAAAAAATTAAAAAAATAAAAGAATTATGATGTTAGATTCAGTGATATTAAGCTTCAAAACAAATGTTTCCTTCCAAGAGATATTTTATTCCTCCTTGAAACTGAAGTAGAAAAAAAAGAGTGAGTTGATGAGGGTGCTTAGAAGAAATTCAAGAGTAAACTTTAGGAAATTATTTCCTCTAAATCCCAAAATACATTATTTCAATAATTTTCTTGAGTATAGTTGTTAAACATCCAAAGTTTACAAGCAACAGGCTGAACTAACGATTTCCTTAATGAAATTGGGTTTCAGTATAATAAAATGACAGCCAGGTAGTGAACATCATGAAATAAACCTAATTTTACATGTTTTTGTTTTTGTTTTTGTTTTTTGGCAACTGGCTGGAACAGGAACTGGCCAGTCCAATTTTACATGGTATTGAATATTTTGTTTTGCAGTACTTATAATCATACTAAAAAGTACTATATATTTTTTTTGTTTGTTTTTTTACTTTTTTTCTGGACTGATATTCACATACAGATAAAAATTACTATAAATGTGTAGATATTGTAGGCTGGGACACAATCATTTGGCTCCTTGGATGATGTTACTTTCAAATGTTACACTCTAAAGTAATACTAATGAGGATTTCTGTTACTCCCTGAAAATGGTATTTTAAGGTCTCTGGCCTCCCTTAGCCCTCAGACAGTCTCCAGACTTTTTTTTTTTTTTTTTTGCCAGCTGGCAGGTATGGGATCCAAACCCTTGACCTTTGTTTCTTCAGACTCTTGAAGTCCTCCTTATACTCACTGTCCTTAGCGCTCCTATAAAGTGATTCATATTGATGCATCACCCCCCCCTTTTTTTTTAAAGATGACTGGTAAGGGGATCTTAACCCTTGACTTGGTGTTGTCAGCACCACACTCAGTCAGTGAGCAAACCGGCCATCCCTATATGGGATCCGAACCCGGGGCCTTGGTGTTATCAGCACCGCACTCTCCCGAGTGAGCCACAGGCCGGCCCCTGCTTCACCCCTTTTTGCCAAATCATTGTAAGGGAGTATTTCCTGACTCAAAGCCCCAGATACCTAAAGAAGGAATTCAGAGAGAAAGCTCCCAAGAGACACTAAGAATTTTATACCTTCCATATTCCTGCCTCAGAAGGCAGTCTTTTCCCCCTAGTGGCTCCTCCTCTTTTCCTAAAAGCAGTCCCTTTTCTCTAGTGAGACTTGATATAATCAATATCAAATAACTTGTATAAACTGCCACTCCCTGCCTCACTACTCCTCAAAGTTCCCAGTAAATAGTAAAAAAAAAAATTTTTTTTTTGGCAGCTGGCTGGTATGGGGATAAATAGTACAATTATTCAGTCACGAATTGAGTGTTCCACTGCTTTTTATTTATTCATTCATTTATTTTTGGTGGCTGGCGAGTACAGGGATCCAAATCCTTGACCTTGGTGTTTCCAACACCATGCTCTAACCAACTGAGCTAACAGCCAGCCCTGCTTTTTTTTTTTTTTTTTTTTTTTTTTTTTTAAAANAAAGATGACCGGTAAGGGGATCTCAACCCTTGGCTTGGTGTTGTCAACACCACGCTCAGCCAGTGAGCAAACGGGCCATCCCTATATGGGATCTGAACCCGTGGCCTTGGTGTTATCAGCACCGCACTCTACCGAGTGAGCCACGGGCCGGCCTCCTGCTTTTTTTTTAAGGCTAATTTTTAACTTTCTCTGAACCAGATATACAGTAGTCCCCTCTTATCCATGGTTTCACTTTCTCCATTTCAGTTATCTGCAGTCAACTGTGGTCTAAAAATATTAAATGCAA